TGGTCGTATCTTGAAAAATTCATAAGGAGGGGCGTTCGTAACTAGAGGTACCACTGTAATTAGAATACTGATTATAATCTGATTGCTGGATATTCTCCTACTGAAAAACACATAAGTGTAGTAATATCATTGATTTATAATGAATTACTGTGAAAATCAAAGTGAAGTATTTGTATATATGTTGTCCATCTTCAGAAAGCATATGTATAGTCTGTTCATGCATGTGAAGGTTTTTCAGACTTCTGGTGATCTGTGAACATTCAGTTTTGGACAAATTTAAAATATCGCCACTTGACCTTACACTTGATTTATTTTCTTCTGGTGATTGAAATCAGAGCCATTCTGATCAGGACTAGATTATTGAATAAACCTCTCTGATCTTTATAATATGGTATTGATCTTCATAATATGTTGCTGGTGCAGTCTACCATCATATTCCTTAAAATTCACATGGGTTTGCTCAGTAACTTGGCCTAGGACCTGCTTTTGTAATATAGCACTGTTTTGACAGTTATACTGATGCTGAAGAAAACTTAAATAGTATTAGGAATTTCTGTGTTAACTAATGATGCACAATAGTGTTACTGCTGTCTCCACGTATTACCTTTAGTTGTTTGTTATCCAAGACCTCCGTTCCCCCCACTAAGTTTATGTAATGTGCATAAATATGTACAAGCTTTACCTACACATTTTCTGCACGTGTATTACTCATATGTTACTTGGATCATATGAAAAGGACTAGAAGGAGAAATGGCTAAAGCATTTTATTCCAACCAATTTCCTTAAGAGAACTTTTCCAAATAGCTTGTCTGACAAATTCCAATGCACAATTATTGTTTCTGAGTCTTATGTGAATTAGAATTTAAATGTGAATTTAGAAAACACAATCTTCTAAAAATTATGTATGGCATCAATTAATTTTGTTGAGCCTCTGTATTAATCCATTTTAACTAAAAATGTGACTTCATATCAAATGCTATTCTACAGCTGCACACTGTGAGCCAAGATTATCAATGATATATCAGTTTTCCCACTGAAGTTTCTCCACTGGCCCTCTCATGGAGTGATAAGTACATTTTTTAGGAAAACCAAATTCTCCAGTTACAAAAAGCCCCCCAGATGTACATTATAGATATCGTGTTACTCACTTGGGAAAAAGTAAACAACAAACTTCTGTCCATATTCATATGTTGGGAGGGAAATCTTAGGTAATGAGAAAGTGTGACTCAGTCATGTCATGTGTATGTTGAATGGATGCCATCTTGAATCTCTAAACTTGATGATTATAATATTTGAGTTAAGTAGATGCAAGATAGCATTTCTTTACAGAATTCAAATAAAAGTGGTTCTGAAATGCAGGGTTTGTGGCATGCAAGGTGTATTCTTGCTACTTAAGATTTTTTCTTCAGCATTTGTATGAATATATCCTGTGCTCATCTTGGTACAAGGCTTCTAATTTTGAAATAATAAAGCTCTTGGCAAATATATTTTGCTTATAGTGATAAGAATATGGATAAGCGGGGTGTTCCTGAGTATAAGTGCACTGTCCAGCATGAATGATTTTCTGAAGAGCTCATTTAAAATAATGTGATATCCTGTTTATAATAACCTTTAAGGTATTTGTATATTTTTCTGTTGTGTGATGGGGTAAACTTCATTTTGACTTCAGCAAAGTCATGTCTTTGTAATTAATGTGTATAACATAGAAGTCTTAAGCATTCAGTACAGTTGATAGAGGTGAAGACATATGAATAAAATTAATATGAATCAAGATTTTGTAAGAGATAATGAAATTAGTGTTTTGTGAAAAACTTCTAGAGATAGGTAGCAGTTAAGCTCAATTATTTTGTATTATGACTTGTAGTTGCATCACTTTCAGGCATAAGTATGCCTGATTTAAACAAGCTGTGTCAGCCTAACTGGTTACCAAGATGGGATTCCCTTTAAGCAAGTATAGCTATTGCAAGAAATGATGTTAATGAGGTTTGGGGTGGATCCCTTCTCTTACATTAATAGTGAACATGGTTTTAGCACGTGATGCTGTTTTGGTTAAGGTGGATCCTGCTCTGGAAAGCACAAAGTAAAAATCCTGACTAATAATACAATGAACTTTTTTTTAATATTGGTATTTCAATAATATGGTAACTTTTTGTGTTGTGCTATTATCTTTTAATTGTTTTCATTTAATTCAGGCATAAATTCACTAGAGTCTTTAATATCAGGTATCTTTCTTTTCTAAGTTAGTATTCTGCTCTGTGATTGGAATTTTGCAAATTGATTCTATCATGGTTTTCTTCCACATGGAATTAAAACTATTTCATTTTGTCATTAGGTCAAGCCAAAAACTTAGTGCCATATCCAGGACCAAATAAAATGAGAGACTGCTTTTGTACAATCAATCTGGATCAAGAAGAGGTATTTCGTACTCAAGTGGTAGAGAAGTCTTTAAGGTGAGCTTCTAATCATGATGCCAGTCTTACTGAAAGCAAGCCTTAGTTAGAAAGCAAATCTTAACTAAATCAGAAAACTGAAGGGTTTTTTAAATTCATTATATTTATGGTATTAGTATGCTGTTGATTGTCTAAATTATCACATCATTTAGTTCAGTAGATATTCATCAGGGCTCTGATTGGCATATTGTGTTTATATTAATTGGAACTGAGCATACAAATAGAATAGGAATGTGCAAAATTTGTTGATCCAGGAAGAAACTATTTTAGCCAACTCCATTTCTTTCTGAACCATAAAGTTGTGAGAGAAGAGAGGGTTGCTTGGTAGATTCTAGAAGTAAATCATGGAATGTAAGGGTTGGAAGGAATTCTGAGGCTAGAATCATCTATCTCATCCAGCCTCCTTCCAGTCCACTGCTGCACATCTCTGAAAGATGTGCAATTTAATACTTCCAGTAAAAGAGTCAACCACCTCCTAAGGCAGCCTATTCTACTGCTAAACATCTGTTACTGTAAATAATTTTTTCTGGGGTCCAATTAAAGTCTGCTTCTTTGTAATTTAAAGCATAGTTTCTTATCTTGTTCTCTAGTACAACATAGAACAAGCCTTCAGTTATTTGAAAACAGCTGTTCTATCTTCCCACAGACCTCTCTACTCCATACTAAACATCTCTAACTTTTCCTCGTATTCTTTTTCCTTCCACGTTCTTTGTGATCTTTGTTGCTCTTCTCTGGATATATTCTTGTTTGTCAATATCCTAAACTTTGGTGCCCAGAAATGAATGCAGTCTTTTAGATATTGTCTGACCAATGCAAAATAGAGAGAAAATCATTTATCTTGATCTGGATACTATACTTCTCTTGATGTAGCCTTGGATTGCACTTAATTTTTTTGCAACTGCGTCACACTGTTTGGTCAATTTAGTTAGGGACCCAGTAGGACACCCAGATTCTTTTTACATATATTACTGCCCAGTATGATCTTCCCCATTCTGTGCTCATGCCTTTAATTTTTCCTATGTAAATGAAGGACATTATATTTGTCCTTGCTGAAATCTGTCTAGTTGGTTTCAGTCAGTTGTTCCAGTTATCAGGTTCCTCCTGAATCTTGACTGTCCTCTAAGTTGTTTATTTGATCTTTGGTCAAATTAGATCAACATATTTTCTAACCTTTCATCAATCACATATAAATACATTGTGTTGTACAGGGCCTAGAATGGAGCCCTGCTTTATTTATTTATTTATTTATTTATTTATTTGATTGATTGATTGATTGATTGATTGATTGATTGATTGATTGATATAGCCATCCATCTCACATAAAGCCAGTTTGGCATAGTGGTTAAGGTACTGACCTAGAAACCAGGAGCCTATGAGTTCTGGGTCTAAAGCAGGCTGGGTGATTTTGGGCCAGTCACTCTCTCTCAGCCCAACCCACCTCACAGACTGTTGTGGAGAAAATAGGCAGGAGTATTAAGTATGTTTGCCACCTTGATTTGACCAAATGTATATAGTGGGAGATGATGATGATGAAAGAATCCTCCTCCTCCTCCTCCTCCTCCTCCTCCTCCTCCTCCTCCTTCTCCTGGTGGCTTACAATAAAATCACCAATTATACCAATCATTACCTCTTTCCAGATTGACACTAAGCTACAGCTATTAGATACAGTTGTTCAACCAGATTTGCATCCATCCATCTGTGGTAGCATAGTCCAGCCTGTCTTGTTATCTTCTCTGCTAGAATTTCGTAGGAGACTTTGTCAAATGCTTTTCTGAAGGCAAATTACACTATGTTCAACATACTCAAACTGATCAATTTATTAAAAAGGATAACTGGTTGGTTTGGCATGACCAGTTCTTGATAAATCCATGCTAGCTCCTGCCAAACAATACATTATTTTTCTGAATGCTCAAAAACTGACTGATGACTTATCTGTAATTACACCCCCCCCCTTTTTTTTTCTCCTTTGAAGATAGAAACATTTGCCCTTCTCCAGCCCTCTGGCACCACGTCAAACCTCCATGATTTCTCAAAAATCAGAGAAAGGGATTCTGAGAAAACATCTGCTATGGGTTTCTTCAAGATTCTAGGATGTAACTGATCTTGTTCTGGGTCCTTGGTAGACAGGTACTTCTTAGCTATGACTGATTATCTTGGATTGCAACTCTTTTTTAGGGCAGTTGTCTGCTTAGGTCCATTTGAACACATTCCCCTGTGGAGAGAAGAAAAAAGCAAAGTAAGAGTTGAAGAACTTTGCCCTCTACCATCCCTGTTTCTATCCTATCATCTTTTCCAAGCAGTCATACCCCTCCTTTTCCTTCTTTTACTACTGACATTGTTTAACAATTACTTTTTGTTCCTCAAATTCCTTTTGTGCTTTAGCCTTCCATTATTATTTCTAGAGATACTAGCTAATTGCTGGTATGCTTTCTTGATGATTGCACCTATTCTCCATTTCCTAAATGTTCCTTTTGATTCTTAGCTGAGCTGAAAGCTCTCTATGCATCCACAATATTTTTCTCTGTGGGCCTCATTTTTTTTCTTTTCATTGGAATAGAGCATGATTGTATATTCAGTACCTTACTTTTACGAAGTTTCCAACTCTCCTGTATTTCCTTTGGCCCAAGGATTTCTGTCCAGGTGAACCTGCCTAGCACTTCTCTAAACTTCTTGAAATTGGCTCTCCTAAAATCTAATGTATATGCACAACCATATCCAGTTTTTCTTTCTGTATGTTGGACTTCAGCTGGCAAGGCAGGACTGGAACCAATTAGGCAAACTCAAACAAATCCAAGCATTCCTGATAAGTGATTTTTCTTTTGGAAAAATTACAAAGCCATAATGACAGAATTCCAGCAATGACAATGTTTCAAGTACAAACACTATTTATAGATTCAACTTTTAGACTTTTTTCCAGTTCATTCTTTTGCTTGCCCTACATAAAATATTACTTAGCCTCACTTTGGGGAAGGGGAAAGCCTTGTCCTTTATTTAGAAAACAATCTGATTTGTGATCATATTGTGCATGAGATCTAATTCTCCTACTGTTAAACTTCACAATGATAATGGTCATTTCCTGCCAAGATTCCTAGTGCTTTTAGCTCTTCACTGAAATCTTCCTTATTGGTTAGATCAAATTAGGACAGCCAGTCTCCTCATATCGTCTTCAGCCTTCTGGAAAATGAAGCCATCAGCAAGACCACTGAGGATTTTTTGTGACCTTGCAGTATTGGCTGAGTTGCTTTTCCAGCAGAAATATGGGTATTTCAAGTCTTCCATTATTACTGCATCTTTCCTCCCAGAAGGTTCTGCATTCTAACTTGGGAGGGCATTATCCAGATCTTCTGCCTGACCTGGCAGTCAGTAGGATGTCCCCAAGATAATATTATTGCTGTTTACCTTCTCTGTATTCTTATGCAAGCACTCTAAATCATACCATTGTGCTCAGATTCTTGGATCCCTACACATGTATACTTCCCTCACATACAATGCCGCTTCTTCCATTTTTTATGGCCTATTCTTTTTCATTAAGTTGCACTCTGCTCATGAGTTTCGTGTCACCAAGTTTCAGTAAGGCCTATTGAATCATATTTGCCTTCCTGCATTAAGACTTTTGGTTTTTCCTGTTTGTTCCTTATACTCTCCTAAGGAACAATCAGCCTCATAAGTCAGGGATAGCTGCCACTCTTATGGCCTTCTGGAAACAGATAAAAACTTGGTTATTTTGAAGGGCCTTTGTGGAGCAATCAACACCAAAATTAGTTTTATTGTATTGTTGATGATGATGATATAGATATAATAATAGTCAGCTGCTCAGAGTTCTAGCAGATTGAGGTGATTAATAAATTCAATAAATAACTTGGTAGGGGACAGTTCCTGAACAGTTTCTCGAGTTTTTTATATAGAGAACGGCATCCACAAGGACAGTGTAAGGCCCTTAGAAGTTCAGTTCTAAATATGTTTCCTTGGGTTGAAGTCTAATGTGTAATTAGGAGAGCTATACTAAAAATTAGCAGAAATAATAATTCCTTGAAAGGGGCTTATGTTCAGAAGGAAAATCCTTTTATTGAAATTTGTAACTTTCAAATATAAAGCAGACAAGGTGATATATTGCAAAGTAATCAGATAGTTTGCTGATTTGTTTTCACAGTCCATTTTTTGGAGAAGAGTTTTACTTTGAAATACCAAGGATATTCCAGTATTTATCGTTCTATATTTATGACAAAAATGTTCTACAGAGGGACCTGCGTATAGGTAAGAAATAACAAATTGTCATGTTAATATTCGTGGGTTGTTTTGTTATATTAAATCTGAAATTGTTGATATTAAAGACAGGCATCTTATTCTTTAAAATACATAATTTTTGTCTTACGTGATGTGAAGGCTCCAGTGATCTTCCATCCCAAATGACTGAGTTAATGCATGTCATTTCAAATATCATCAGTCTGTCTGAATAAGATGTTCTGAGATAACCTGCAAAAGCAGGCATTTTACTGTAAAACTTTGACTTCATTCATCTTCAAATAGTGGTAGTACAGTAATATCTACCACTGCTTCCTAATCTTGGAATGCAAAGTACTGGTAGACTGCATTTAAAGAATGTTGTTTAGGATATGGACTATTCTGATGCAGATCTTCTCTAGAGTTGTGTTAGATACACATATAATACTTTTTTTTTAATTAATACACCCATTTGATTTGTTAATTTTCCCTTTAGGTAAAATAGCTATCAAAAAAGAAGATTTGAGCATATATTCTGGCAAGGAAACATGGTTTATACTTCAACCAGTTGATTCTAACTCAGAAGTTCAGGTAAAATTAAATAAATATGAAAACTAATGCTGGTATATATATGGTGGTGCTTAAAAGTTTGTGATTCCATTTGAATTCTGCATAAATATGACCTAAAACATGATCTGTTCTCCACACAAGTCCTAAAACTAGATAAAGAGAACCCAGTTAAACAAGAGTCAAAAACATTCTTGTTCATTTATTCATTGAAGAAAATGGTCCAAAGCTACGTATTTGTTTTGAATTCTGCATAAATATGACCTAAAACATGATCTGTTCTCCACACAAGTCCTAAAACTAGATAAAGAGAACCCAGTTAAACAAGAGTCAAAAACATTCTTGTTCATTTATTCATTGAAGAAAATGGTCCAAAGCTACGTATTTGTATGTGGCAAAAGTATGCAAACCTCTAGGATTATCAGTTCATTTGAAGGGAAAATTAGAGTCAGGTGTCATTATCAGTGTCATTATCAGTCATTATCAATGGGATAATAATCAGATGTGATTGTGGGAGGTGCTGCCTTATTTAAAGAGCAGAATTCTGGGGATTTGCTGTCAAAGTCTGATCTTCACAATGCAGTTATGTGAAAGTGTGTCATGGCTCGAACAAAGGAAATTTTTGAGGACCTCTAAAAAACAGTTGTTGATGCTCACCAGGCTGGAAAAGGATACAGAACTATTTCCAAAGAGTTTGGACTTTACCAGTCTACTGTCAGGCACATTGTGTACACATGGAGGCAATTCAGGACCATTGTTACCCTCCCTAGGAGTGGTCGCTCAACCAAGATCACACCAAGAGAAGGTGTGTAATACTGAGGGAGGTCTCAAAGAAGCCCAGGGTAACGTCTAAGGAACTGAAGATCTCTCTTGCATTGGTGAATGTCAGTGTTCAGGAGAACACTGAGCAATGATGGTGTGCATGGCAGAGTTGCAAGGAGAATGCCACTACTCTCAAAAGTGAACGTGGCTGCCCATCTACAGTTTGTGAAAGACCACATGGATAAGCCAGAATGCTTTTGGAAGACTGTTCTGGAGACGTGTGAGACTAAAATAGAACTTTTTGGCTTGAATGAAAAGCATTGGCGAAAGGCAGGCGCTGCATTTCAGCATAAGAACCTTATCCCATCTGTGAAACGTGGTGGCAGTATCATGGTTTGGGCCTGCTTTGCTGCCTCTGGCCCAGGGCAGCTTGCCATCCTTGATGGAACTAATAATTCTGAATTGTACCAGCAAATTCTACAGGAAAATGTCAGGGTATCTGTCCATGAAGAGAAAATGGACCATGCAGCAAGACAACGATCCGAAACACCCAAGTCATACCACCAAAGAATGGTTAAAGCAGAAGAAAGTTAATGTTTTGCAATGGCCAAGTCAAAGTCCTGAACTTAATTGTATAGAAATGTTGTGGAAGAACGTGAAGCGGACAGTTCATGCGAGGAAGTCCACCAACATCCCTGAGTTGAAGCTGTTCTGTAAGGAGGAATGGGCTAAAATTCCTCCAAGCCAATGTATAGGACTGAGCAACAGTTATCAGAACATTTAGTTGCAGTTAGTACTGCCAAAGGGGGCCATACCAGTTACTGAAAGCAAAGGTTCACATACTTAAGCCAGACACAAGTTTGAAAAGTTCTGTGTTTTCTCTCAGGGGAGTGAGGTTAAATAATAAGCTAACCTTAGGCTGCAACGCAAATGCACAGCTGAGGTAATTGTTAGTGTCTACTCTGCTGTTGGCCTGCTTTTTGGCCAGTCTGTCTGACCTGTGGAGCTCAGCCCTCTGCTGTTGGATCTTTAAAGCACATGTCTGCTTGGGACTGGTTGGGTGAATTTCAGAGTCTGAGAGGCTGTCAGTAGGCGCATTCAGGGAGTCCTGGGGGCTTGCTGGATCTGCATGAATCGGAGTGGAGTTATTCAGTGCTTGAATCACCTCCTCTAGGATTATTATCCCTAGGTGCCCCAGGCTCTGTTTTTTCCTTCTCATCAGAAGACAGGTCAAACAGGGCCATAACAATATATTGCAAGTTGTTATCAGATGGTTTTTTTATATGCTGAATAGAAATTTGTAGGGGTGTGCAGAACTCTTCATACACAGTTGCTCAGATCGAAACACATGTATTTTATCCAGAGCGGAAACATTGTGTCCCTTTATCCTAGAATGATGAAATGCATCCTGTGCATGCTAAAGTTAAGACAACAAGAATAAGACTTGATATGGGAGTCCCACAGCTACATATTACCTGATGAAATAATTAGTACTTTGTCTTATTGCCACTTTCCTGAAATCATCTCACAGAAGGCTTTTGATACCTTGTAGATGGGTGACATATATACTCTCAGTCTTATTTAGAGTAAAATTTACAAAGATAAGTTTTAACATTCATGACACAATAATTTTTGTACTATTTTTCATGATTTATGTGCTATATGTGAGAGAGTTGCTTCTGAATTACTTTATAAATGCTCTAAAAGAATCATGAAGCAGATTTTTAATTCAACAATTTAGTTGTCCCTAAAATAATACTGCTATTTGTGAATTACAATATTTGTGAATATAATAAGTATTTATGCAAATAAGCAGCAGGATATTTTAAGAAAATATTTTCATCCTAATTATAAGCCAAAAAAAAAAGAATTTTGTTTGACTTAAAGCTAACTGTGCAAACTGTTTTGATTTTGAATTCCAACCTTACTGGAAATGTCAGCCTAAGGTGAAAGCAGCTGTTTCAAGCTCAGAACACTTCCAGTGAGGTTTTTAAAAAAGCATTGGGACATTTCCAGTGAAGTTGAAGCACCCTGTTTCAAACTGCTAATAGCTGTTTCAACCTTTTAACGAAGTATTTTATATTTGAACCATTTTGAATTCAAAGTATTCTACATACCTCTACTTAACTCTGTAGAATTGTGATCTGGGTATGATACTCAACCAAATGTCCCTCCTACACAGAACTTTCAATTAAGATGTTGCTTTGCCTTGTCATTCTTTTCAGTATATGTTTCAAATTGTGCACCAGACTAAGTATTTATTTATTGTAAAGTCCTTGGGGCTCTGAGCTTGGTTGTTTTCTTGGAGACACTTCATTAACTAGACGAAATGTCTGCAAGGAAACAACCAAGCTCAGCAAACCCAAGGACTCCACAATTCAACCCTGAGCTACATACATTTTCTTCTATTGATATTTATTTATTGTCATAAGTATGCTTAGTTGTACATTAGTTACACTGGTATAGTTTAAGTGTCTTACATTATTTCCCAGCAACTTCTACTTTCTGCTCACCAGAGGAACAAACCTAGAATAATTTTGGGCTCAATTCTGAACACAGGGCAGATCAGAAAAATGATTATGATGAAATGGACTGTTTACTAACACTGTGAAAATAAAGTATGATTGTATTTAAACTTAATGTGAAACTGTAAGGCTGATTTTGTAATGAATGCACCTGCTTGTTCCCAGTTGCTTTACTAATGAGCGGATGTGGCTTGCAACTGTGAGTTGGCTTCCCAAACTTAGCATGGTATGATGGTGATAATAAACAATAGGCATAGGTTAGTATCAGTCATATTCTTTGAAAGCTGTCTGTCATGTTTTAATAGAAGTGAGAGATGACATTCCCTGATGATATATTCTAAGACTTAGGGTTTCTAATGAGTTCTTCTGTAATTTATGTTAATGAGTTCTAGGCAGACAAAGCCACAGTCCTACTTTCATACATCATGCATGCTTGGCTGATAAAGTCATAGATATTTTAAACTTGTATTTATTGCTAAATCAGTCACATAGGCCAGTATAACTTGTAAAATAACTAATGCCAGAAAAAATTGATTATATATTAAGGATCTATTTTGATTTCATGAGAACAGTATTTTTTGTAACCTGGCCCTGTTTCAAACAATTGTTACTTAGTAGTTTTCACAGATTGAGTAACTAAAGCATCTTTGAAAACATGCTAATAGCACTTAATTATAGAGATGTTTAATGTCTGTGAGGCCGGAAATGCTCTAGCAGAGTCTTATTTATTGCTTCTTAAATTGTTAATCTGTCTTCTCTAGGGTGGGTACAAATGTCTAAGAGGGGGCAGGGCTTGAGCTTGTGCACAAAGCCATTTTCACAGCAAGAAATATGAAACAGTTGCAGCCTTCCCAAGCTGGTATCATCTAGAACTATCATCTGGAATTATCAGTTCCTTGAAGCTTTTATAATAGAGTTAATGGCACCACTGAGAGAAGTTTATGGAAAATATAGTATTGTAAAACACATTTGAAGATATCAGTTTCTGAAAGACTAAGATACTGCATTGTAAAGTAGCCCTCCTTGCCTGAAATAATTCTAACGGTAAGGTTTTGATCTTCACAAAATAATTACAGGTAGTCCTCATTTAATGACCACAGTTGGGACTAGCAATTCCATTACTAAGCAGCGTGGTCATTAAGTGAAACATGTGGTTGCCCCGGACTTATGAAGTCAGTTCTGCTGTGGTTGTTAAGCAAATCACCTACAGTTGTTATACACAACATTACATGACCACAATTTGTGACTTACTGCCGGCTTCTCCATTGACTTTGCTTGCCGGAAGCCGGCTGTGAAGCTTCAAATGACGATCATGTGACCGCAGAATGCTGTTATAATGTGCACCAATTGTGAAGCACGTTCTGATGCTGCAACAGTTGTAAGTTCGAGGACTGGTCATAAAACTTTTTCAGTGCTGTCATAAGTTTGAATAGTTGCTAAACAGGGCAGTTGTTAACTGAGAGCTACCTATAATATCAAATTATCAGTTCCTTGAAGCTTTTATAATAGAGTTAATGGCACATACATGTTCATTCTTAATTTTTAAAAAGCCTTAGTAAAGTTGTCTAATAAAGGAAGAAATGAGAAGACAAACATTTATACAAATAATTCCAAATGTAAGCCATCTTTGAAATAATGGTTTCAGTGATTTCTTTATGAGAGGATAGCAGTTTTCTGGATTAGGAGACTAAAAATAACTGTAGTGTGTTTAGCACGTCTGACAGTGGCTAAATTAATAATTATTCATAAATCTAACTCATGAAATATTAAACAGATGCTATAATTATGGTAGGATGGACTATTGTTTTCAGGCTGCTCTGTGCCATTAAGTAGTAGTTGTAGTCTATACGCCAAATGAGTTAGGAGAAAAATAAGCCCCACAAAGGTGAATATGTGTAGCCCTTGTTTGCAACCACAGTTGGGACTGGCAACTCAGTTGTTAAGCAAAGCAGTCGCTAAGTGAAACCACAACTGTGCTTACAATCTTCAGCTTTCCTTTGCTTTAGAGACCTGCGAAGGTTGTAGTCATCACTGTCATAACTGCAAACAGTCACTAAATGAGGTATTGCTAAATGAGGACTACCTGTATTCATGATTCTCCCTTTGG